ACCCAGGAGGCGGAGGTTGCGGTGAGCCGAGATTGCGCCATTGCACTCCAGCCTGGGTAACATGAGTGAAACTCCATCTCAAAAAAAAAAAAAAAATAAGAAGAATAGATAACACAAATAGCCTTTTGTCTATTAAAGGAATTAATGTGTAGTTATAAGCCTTTCTGCAGAGAAAACTACAGGCCCAGATGGCTTCACTGGTGATTTCTACTAAACACTTAAGGAAAAAAATAACAAATTCTACACAAACTCTCGTAGGAAACAAAAGAGGATGAAACATTCAAACTCATTGAGTGAGGCCAGTACTAAATTGCTACCAAAACCACATAAAGACATAGAAAATTTTATAACAATATTCCTTATGAATATAGATGTAAATAAACATGCTTAACAAAAATTAAGTGAATCAGTATCCAGGAATACATAAAAGGATACATTAAGTATCCAGGAATACATAAAAAGGGTAATACATCATGACTAAGGTTTGTTTGATATTTGGAAATAAATTACTATAATATACTTCATTAGCAGAATAAAAGAGCCATATGATTATTTCAATAGATATAGAAAAAGTTGTTTAATGAAACTCGACATTATTTATAATAAATAAACAGAAAACTAAGATAGAAGGGAACTTGTTTAGTCTGACAAAGGCCATCTATTAAAAGCCTACAGCTAACATTATTACATCATTAACCTATACTTAATACTATACTTAAAATGGTAAAATAACGAATGCTTTCCTCCAAGTCAGAAACAAGTGAATGAGGTCCATTCTCACCAGTTCTATTCAACATTGTACAACAGATCCTGGACAGTGAAATAAGGCATGGAAAAACAGGTATAAAGATCAGAAGGTAAATATCTCTACTTGCATGATATGGTGGTTTACATAGAAAACTTTATTGCTGGGTAAGGTTTCCCACTTAGGGAAAATATGAAATAGGAAGAGAAGAGAGCATCTTGGGGAATGCCTTCATTTCAAGGATGGGTAGAAACTAACAACTAACAA